ATCCCATGACTGTAGTGTGGCTATCAAGATGAGAACCTTGTGGTTAGTGTCACTACAAGCCATGGAAGAAGGGGAGCCAACTGATGAAGCCTTCCTGCTCCAGCTACAGGAGGCAATGAACTTACAGACTCTTGTCCTGCTGGGGGACTTCAACCACCCCTACATCCACTGGGAAAGTAGCACAGCAAGCTGTAAGCAGTGCAGGAGAATTCTGGAATGCATGGAGGGCAACTTCTTGAGCCAGGTAACAGACAGCCCTGCCAGATGGGAAATGATGCTGGACCTGACGGCAAAAATGCAGTGAACTAATCTGGGACATGAAGATTGGAGGCAGCCTGGGCTGCAGTGATCATGCAGTGGTGGAGTTCACGCTCCTGAGGAGTATGGGTCAGGCAAAGAGTAAAATCAGGATCCTGAATTTTAGGGACAATAGGACGCCCTGGAAAGTGCCCTCTGGAACAAGGCAGCAGAACAGAGCTGAGAGATCTTTAAGGATGCTTTCCATAGAGTGTGAGAGCTCTTGATCCCCAGGAGCAAGAAATCAGACAAGGAGGGCATGAGGGTGTGGCTGAGTAGGGACCTGCTAGTCAAACTACAGGGCAAGAAGCAAATGAGCAGGCAGTACAAACAGGTAACCTGGGGAAAGTATAGAAACGAGGTTTGGTTATGTAGGCATGGGGTGAGGAAGGCCAAGGCACAGCTGGAAGTGAACCTGGCAAGACTCAAAGAATAACAAGGACTTTTACAGGTTTGTTGATCAGAAAAGGAAGGTCAAAGAAAGAAGCAAGGTCATGAAGCTGGTAACAAGGGACGAGGAGAATGCTGAGGTACTCAACATTTTGCCTTAGTCTTCAATTTAAATCTCTCTTCCATGCTTTTCAAGTGGATGAGCAGCAGTGGACGAGCGGATGAAACTGAGGGAACAAAGTGATTCCCACTATAAGAAAAGATCAGGTTTGTGATGAACATGAGGAGCCTGAACATACATAAGTCTGTGGGACCCAATAAGATGCCTGCCAAAGTGCTGAGTGAATTAGCTGATGTAGTTGCCAACCCACTCTCCATGACACCAAAAAAGTCATGGCAGGTCCATACAACTGGAATAGGGGGAAAATACCCATATTTAGAAAGGGTAAAAAGGAGGACCCTGGAAACTACTGACCTGTCAGCCTGGGAACACATTGAGCAGATCCTCCTAGAAGCAGTGCTAAAGCACACAGAGAACAGGGAGGTGATTCAGGACAGCCAGAATGGCTGCCCCAAGGACAATCCTGACGGACCAAGCCAGTGGCCTTCTGTGATGGGGTGCATTCATCTGTGGACAAGGGAAGGGCTACAGATGTCAGCTCTCTGTAAGGCCTTTGACAAGATACCCCACTACATCCTTTCTAAATTGGAGACATATGGATTTGGTGGGTGGACTGTTCTGTGAATAGGGAATTAGTTCAGTGATCACATCCAGGGGGTAGTGGTCAATGGCTCAATGTCCAGAGATAGTGATGAGTGGTTTCTCTCAGGGATCTGTATTGGCACCAATACTGTTTAATATCTGTATCAATGACACAGACACTGGAATCGAGTGCAGCCTCAACAAGTTTGCAGATGAGACCAAGTTGAGTTTTGCAGTTGACATACCTGAGGGACAGGATCCCATCCAGAGGGACCTTGACAGACTTGAGGAATGGGCGCATGGAAACATTACGAGGTTCAAAAAGGCCAAATGCAAGGTCCTGCATATGTATTGAGGAAATTCCCAATATGTATAAAGGCTGGGGAACAAATGGCTCAAGAGCAGCCCTGCCAAGGACTTGGGGGTGCTGGTAGATGGGAGTCTGGCCATGACCCAGCAGTGTGTACTCACAGCCAGAAAGCCAGTTGTATCCTGGGTTGCATCAAAAGCAGGCAGGGCCAGCAGGGCAAGGGAGGTGATTGTCCCGCTTTGCTCTGCTCTTGTGAGACCCTCCCTGGAGAACTGCATCCAGCTCTGGGATGCCCAGAGCAGGAAGGACAACACAGACCTGTTAAAGCAGGGCCAGAGGAGGGCCTGGAACATGATTAGAGGATGAAGTCAGTCTGATGAAAACAGGCTAAGAAAGTTGTTCAGCCTGGAAAAGAGAAGGCTCTTCTGCACTGCTGCAGCTGAATCCTGTGTCCAGTCTCCGGCCCCTCATTACAAGAAGGACACTGAGGTGCTGGAGCAGGCCCAGAGAAAGGCAATGGAGCGGGGTAAAGGTCTGGAGCACAGAGGAGCAGCTGAGGGAGCTGGGGATGTTCAGCCTGGAGAAAAGGAGGCTCAGGAGGATCCTTATCATTCTCTACAACTGCCTGAAAGGAGGTTGTAGCCAGGTCAGGGTCTGTCTCCTCTCCCAGGCAATCAGCAACAGGACAAGAGGAAATGGATTCAGGCTGTGCCAGGTGCAGTTCATGCTGTGTATGAGGAAGAGTTTCTTCACTGGAAGGGTGGTTATACATTGGAATGGGCTGCTCAGGCATGCGTGGACTAACCACCCCTGGAAGTGCTCAAGAAACAAGTGGACATGGCAATTAGTGCTATGGTTTAGATGACATGGTAGTGGTTCAGTCAAAGCTTGGGCTTGATGTTGGCAGTCTTTTCCAGAGTTATGTTCTCTGGATTCTATGATTCCATGATACTGTCTCCTCTTTCCACTACAAGCACGTTTTCATACTCCTGCACCATGTGAACATCACTAACTCACCACTATGTAGCTATTTCTTTTCCTCCCTCTACTCTCTCCAGCAGCAGCAGCTGCACCAGTCCTGGAACAGAGTGATAACCACACAACTCAAATCTCCTTGTGCCCAAACACTCATCTAACAGCACATTATTGCCATTAAATGTTTCAGTGTAGAAATCCTTTGAATTAACCTCTTCAGAATTAGAAAATAGATAGACAATTTGGAAGTTGCATCAAATATGCCTGCATTCTGCTCCTCTCAGATTCTGAACCATGCCTGTGACAAAACCACCCTCACATGTTGATTTATTTGTGGTATATAGACGTAGAGAATGAAAATCAGGATTCTTACAGACCACTTCTGCATACTTAACACTAGGTGCTGTTGGATTCCATTTTTGGCCATTTTACCTATGGACATTACTCACTGCCAGCTTTACTCTTCTTAGTCTCAGCTGACTCAAGAACTGCTTTCTTAATGACTTCTCCTTCACCCCTCTGCATCCATGAGAAAATAACTGTAGTCATGGACTACAGAAAGCACCTGGAAATTCTGCCCTGCAGCTCTTTTCTGGGGCAGAGCTGGTGGGCCACCACCAGCTGCAGTAGGCACCCAGCCAACACTACTAAAGATCAGCTCATCAGTAATCGCAGCCAGAAGCCCAATCCTGTGTTGCCCTGTGTCCCAACAATCCCACTCTGTTTGATATTTCAAAGGAAGCCCTCCTCTTGTCCTGAGGACAAGGCACGTAGCCATTTCATGGTCATATTTTTAGGCTGACCCTTCTTACACACACATACACACAACATTTGTCTCTCCCCCAGCAATTTCCAATAAGTGATTGCTACCCTGATCATCAAGACACTTAACCAGGCACTGAATTCAGGACAAGAAAGGAAAAAACTCCTTACATATATATGTAAATTTAAGCATATAAATCAGAATTTAACAAAACTCTTTAACCAGAGACACACAACAAAAATAATCTACAGATATAACTTTTTATTTACGTAAGCTGAGGATGTGTATTTGGCTCAGGACTCTTTATCCATGATTTTAAAGAGACTGACTGCAAATAATATAAAAAAATAAAAAATGTAAAATTAATCAATATTTTCAAAATTGTCACAAATTTTGAAAACACTTGTATAAATTCTGCAAACTTTGTGTACCCTTAAAGGGGCATAATTTAGTTACCATATATAATGATAATTGAAAATATTAGTACTTTACCCTAAAGTTTCAACATAGACATATTCATGATGGTGTAATTTCAAGAGGGTATCAAAAGTGATCATGGTTAGAAAAATATACATACTTTTGCTTCTGGAAAAGAAAAGGTCATTTGAAATATCCATCAAATAAACACTAAATAAAGTCTCTCCACAGATTTTTTTTCACAGTCCAAGATAAAATGAATGTTTATACACAGCTTATGCAATCTGTCATTTTCAAGGTAGAGTCACAGTTTCACCAGTGCAGAAGAACAAAACCTGTTACTACTCTCCAGACTGTTGGCTGCACCCACATATGATTGTTTAGGCAAGCCAAAAGAGCAGAGCCATACAGTGATACCCAAACCAATCATAGGAAAGGTAGAGAAAATGCAGATGCACAAGAGCAAAGGAAATCACATTGATAACAAGAACACTGAGAGGAATAGTGACCAATAGGAATAGATATGAACTCTTTAGTAGCATGCAGTAATTCCTACAGGAAAAATAATCCCACCACACTCCAAGTATTAAAAGGACACTTTCATGGTGCTTTTCATTAATTTTTGAAGGAATATTAAAGATTGCTGTCTACTGGAAATAGCCTGGACTTAATTTGTTTCAGTGGATACAGTTTGTTGCTGTGCTTCAGTTCATGGCAGTGCTAAACCTCAGTTGCACACACACCAAGCAAAACAACCCCACATTTTCAAAGTTTTAAAAGAAAATGAGATAGGAAGGAATTTTCAAAAACATGTGCTTTCACTACCTGAGTGCATTGCAGTAGCCAACAAAGAAAAGATGTGGTCATTACTTGTTAAAATGAATTCTGGTGTAAAGAAGGAATTCAGAAGAGCAACGTGGCACTTGCAACAGTTACTGAAATTAAAGATATAGTGACACATCAAGATCTGATATCGTTTACAGTGTCCTTTTAAGAGTCAACAGACCTGTATCTTAGATGCAACTGAAACAGAAATGATGCAAATTCTAATGAAATAACCAAATCAAGAATGTTACAATATTTCATAGTAATAAAGTCTATGGAACTACTGAACAGAAAAAAGCATGAAGGATAATAGCAGCATATGGTTTACAGTTTTCACTTCTCAGTTTATTAATATTAGTGGTGAACTCAGCAATGCATAAAGCAAGGAAAGAAATTCTGTCAAAACTGGCAATTATCTACCACATCAACACTTAATTATGGTCCTTGTAAACAGCTAACTCCTTTTTGAACTTAAATTGCAAAGAAAAGAATATTTACATATAATATATATGTATATAACCACAAAACCAAAATTAAGTTAAAACCTTATCAAGGAAATTGCATTTTGAGAAGAACATAATACAATATTAAATAGTACACGTCCAAAGATTTTGAAGGCATTGTGATTTTCATGCTTTCTTCCTCCAGTCATTTTCCCCTGGATTTTAGTAGACTAAATACTTCATTTCAGAGTAAATAAGTGGAAATATTATAGAGCAGCTCCGGTAAAGAATAGCTCCACTACTGAAAACTGCTCGAGGCGTGGTAATCCAGGACTCTGATTTAAAGCAAAAATAAACAGCATACAAGGCCACAGCAAAGAAGTGGCCAATCAGTACCATTGGTTTAGGAGATAACCTGCATTAAAAATAAACAGATAAAACTAGTAAATAAACAGAATCAGAAAGAACTGAAAATTTTCCATTTTACTAATACAGAGCTCCACTCAGGAACACACACCTTCGACTGATTTAGGCAGATCTGGTCATGCCAACCAAACTGAAAAATACAAACTTGGTTCTTTTGGTCTGCTCCACACTCTGCATTCCCTTCTACAGCACAGCCAACGTGTACTGCTGCTTTCTCCTCATTTATAGTACTCTTTGTCTACCTTATCTACCCCCAGAGGAATATTTTAAATACCCTTTGAGTTTTAGCTCTCGGTCCAAAAGGAGAGAAATATAAAAGCACACATTCTCCTATGTTCAGAGTAGTAGGATTTACTGTGCATTCACAAGTTTCTGAGGGGTAATTCAAATACCTTAATTGCTAGAGATTTTCCTGCTCCTTACAGCTTTTTATGGGAGGCCTCACCCAACACTACTCTCAGCTTCTCAAGTAGGAAACAACCTCCACCAGCTGCTCTGCTGGTCTGGACTCCTCTACCTTATTCAAATTCCTGTGCCACCTACACTATGAGCCACCAGCTTTAAGTGGCCTTTGTTACACAGAAAAAAACCCAGTGAGTCAGGACTTAGAGACACAGTTTCTAATAAACCTCCAACCTGTAGTATAATCTTAAAATCTAGGCTGATGTGGACCATCCTCCCTGTGTTGAGCCGCCTGATGGGGAGCAAAGCAGATCCCTCAGGGGCACACAATAACCACTGCCAGCACAGTGAACTTACACTGAGAGCAATCCAACAGGACCTGAGACACATTCTCCTCCAAGTCTGAAGTAATGGAAACAGGCTTTCTTTAGCTGATGCAAGGAATCTAAAAAAATAATTAGAATTAATAAAACAAATATAATCAACACATACTGAAACATTTTTCTGCATGCACAATAATGACATTAAATACAGGACTTTGGCAGCTGTCATTCTGTTCAATTCAGCTGGATTTTAAGCTTTTTTTTTTTATACAAAGGATAGTCTTACATAATATCTACATATTTTTGCATTAATTGACTATTGTTTTCTTTGTTTTGGAGTTTTTCTTTGGTTAGTTATTTAGTCCTAACGCCAGAGTTGCCTTCACATTGCTAAAATTCTGTCTAAAAAACTAAGCAGAGAACACAAGAAAGCTTATTAAAATTCTTTGATTGATATATTTTTAATATGTAACAATATACATACATATATATATATGTACACACACAGGGACATGGACATCCCCTTCCCAGTCATATTTATTTACCAAGTTATAATTAATCAGAGGTTATCTTTAAGATATATTTACCATCTGTGGCAGCAAAGAGTTCATAAAGTGCCTGGGCAAGAACATTCACTACAAAAGAATGAGATTTTTTTCTTGACCAATAAAATGTTCTTTTTGCCTGAAAAAAATAAAATAAAAAAAAAAATAAAATAAAAATATAAATATAAAATTAAAAAATAAAAACAAATACAAAGGAACATTCAGAAGATTCCCAACAAGGTGACGTGGCAAGAGTCATGTTCATGGGACATGTAGAAGGGATTTAGTGATATGCTAGATTGATTACAAGCTAGGTCATTAAGGGATTTTAGAAACTTGCTGAACCAGTTATGCAAGCCCCCCTTACCTTAAATATAAGGGGAAAAGGGTAGTTCCAGAGCATGTTTCATCTCATCCTACAGTAGATGTCTGGGATACAGCTGAAACTTGAAGGATAATGCTCAGCTAGTTCCCTCAATGGACTGGTAATAAATAGGAAATGACGGGAGTCTGAGGTGGCTAGCTGCCCTAAAAGTATCTGCATGTGGTCAGGTAAGTCTTGAACTATCCTGACATTCAGGGTTCTTCCTAGTGCTTCTCAATTTTCAAATACACTTTTTGAATCATCTACTTGTAGTCTACAATTATACTATCTGTAATTTAGCCAAGACAATATGCCTAACCCCATTAAAAGCAGTAAAGAAATAAATAAGAAATCTTACTATCTACTCATCAGAATTTTGGGACTATCACTGAAAAAATAAACCTTGCATGAACACTGATGGAGCAGATCCTGGGAAAGAAGGATCCCTTCTAACTTACTACTCAGATTAATGCAGCAGGCAAGAGGCCAGTGGAGGCTGAGATGTCTCTTGAAAGAATGAGTACACAAGCTCGTTATTGTAAAAGTTCCACTCACATAAGTGTAATGGTTCAAACCCACCACATTTAGGATCACGCTGGTTAAAAATACCCTATTAAAATGGAAATATCAGGTTATCCTAGCAAAACATCCTGGCTAGACACAGCACATCAATCTCCTTAAGTAAAACACAGCAGGTCAGTGTGAAAAGTTTTGAAACTGCCTCTTGCCACACAGCACAGCAGTTACAGACCACAGCTGCACTGGTCAATGCCCGATATCTGATTATTCTAGCCAAAACTTTGAAAACTGCTATGCCTCACCAAGAACTTACTTGTCCCTGAGTTGCACAAAACTTAGAAGTGTGTCACCAGACTGCAGCAGAAGCTGTCTAAAATAAGTCCAAAATAAAGAATCACCTTAAGAACATCAGAATCTTCATAAAGGTCTGGGATATCCTGGAGCAAACTTCTCCATATTTTAACATCATTTAAAATAACACTCATTCCTCCACCAGTAAGAGGGTGTCTTATATTATATGCATCTCCTAAAAGAAGAACACCTAGGTAGAAGAGAAAAAACAATAGGCTACTGCACAACCGTTAAGAAATCTTAAAATTCAAATCCTCTAAAAAACCATGAAAATTACTTAGAATTCATTCCCACCAGAAGATGTATAGTAACTAGAAATTAAAAACAAAAAACCATAAAGTATGTCTTTAAGTTAAAAGGCTAAAAACAGCTTTAAGATAATCAAGGTCAAACTATTTTTTCCAGATAGGTATGCATGTTCATGTGTCAAAGTTAATTTCTTTCATTTTTAATATTTTTTTCTTTGAAAGGCCACACTTGTATAAGCTGGAGCAACTGAGTAAATTAAACTTACAGACAAAGCATGCATTGATTTAACATCTGGTAATGTAAACGTTCCAGTTAAATTTTGCCCAAGGTACACATTTTCAAAATAACATTTTTTATAGAAGATTTATGAGACAGTTGTATTGAAAAATATACGTCTAAGACAATAAAATCCTATGTCCCAGAAGATGCTTATAATACTTTTTTTCTTCCTTTTATTTCATAATACCCACCTTTCTTGTTTACAGCTGAAGGAGGCAAGAAGCTGGCTGGCATAGTCCTTAAACGATCATTCTGAACTGCTATTAAGAATGGTTCCTTTAAGTGATCTGCAACAACCAAATATTTTAGTTACAGTATTTAGACAAAGACACAATTTGTACACAATCCATTTAAATCTCTTTTTAGAGATATTACAGAGTCATAAAATGGTGGGGGTTGGAATGGGACCTTGAAGATCATGTAGTGCCAACCCCCCTGCTATGGGCAGAGACATTTCCCCTAGACCAGACTGCTCAGAGCCCCATCCAACCTGGCCTTGGACATCTCCAGGGATGTGGCACCTCAGGTTCCCTGAGCAACCTGTTTTAGTGCCTCATCACCCTCCCAGAAAATAATTTGTTCCTAATATCCAATCTAAACCTCCTCTCTATTTGAATCCATTTCTCCTTGTCCTGTCACTGATGCTCTTGTCAATAGTCCTGCCCCAAAAGCCTTTTTTTCCAGACTGAACAAAACCGACTCTCTCAACCTCTTCTCATAGAAGAGCCGTCCATCCCTCTGGTCAACTTGGTGGCCTCCTCTGGACTCATTGCAACAAGTCAATGTCCTTCCTGCGCTGGGCACCCCAGAGCTTTATACAATCCTTCTGAATTGCTGACCCCACAGATGTGAGCAGAACAAACTTGTGTGTGTTGGGTGGCATGGAACCAAAGAAGGGTGAATGGCTCCTGAAACAGTACCCATGCACTGTATATTATGCAAGTGTGTATATTATATATGGAAAAAGCCACACATTTCACATTTCATTGAATTTTATTAATTCAATGAAATGTGTCTCTTTTTTTTTTTTTGACATATTTAAATGTGACAATTCTCTACAAGTCTTTCCAGACTTACCAGGTAGTTGTGGATGAATGGTCTCAATCATGTACTCTTTTAAATTTTTTGGCATTTCCCCTCGAATATCAACAAGGACCCGTGTTTCAGTTGAAGAAATCTTATAGATTAGCACTGGACTTGTTTTAGCTAAAACAAGTTCGGCATAATTAGGTTTAAACTGTGATGCATCCTTAAAAAAGAAGGAAGGGGAAGAAAAATTGAGACTGATTAATGAAAGGATATTAAACATCAGACAGACAAAGTAATTTTCTAAAACACTTTTAAATAAAATCCTATATCATATTAAGTTTGTGTTATTCTTCTCTTAAATGGAGAAGTGCTTTCAAAAAGAAAGTTCTGAATTTTAGTGTAGCAACAATTCTTTTGCCAATACATTTTAGTATTTATTAGAATCACTAACTTATCCATTTCATTTGAATACCTCACCAATATTTAACATATGCCATTGAAAACCTATAACATAATCAATGTAGTAGTTTTCAGTAAGATCATTTTGTTTTGTTTTCATAAAGAAAGAAGTGGGAGGGAAAGAAATCAACTAATCTAAATATAATTACTTGGAGACACCAACAGAAGAAGAATCATAGGGTCTTGTGAGGTCTTAAAGGAGATTCCAAAAGGAGACAAACTTGGGCAGTGCTAACTGGATTAGAGACCCAAAAAGTACTTAAGTTGCTACCAGTCAGTGTTCCCAGTGTTCCCAGTCTAGTGAAAATTCTGTTAGCTTTGGTTCATTCTCCCTTAATTATTTTTGCTGTTAATGCATCAGTTAATGCAGCAGACACAGAGTGAAAGATCCAGACAGGATTTCTACCTGGATTCTCCACCCAGCTACCAACCCAGATTCCCAGTCCAAAACCAGGACACCACCTTCTCTCTTGAAGTTTATAGGTCCTGAAGGCAAATATGTACCTGGTTACAAGGTACCCCACTTTCAGGCAGGAGCACAGTTTGGGAACCCTTTTGGAGTAAAAAACATAGGTGGTTTGGCTCACAGCTTCTAGGATGATCTAAAATCTAAGATTTTTACTCCCTGAACAAATACTGTAACTATTGGGGAAAAAAAAAAAAAAAAAAAAAAAAGTGTCACCATTAGAGGTACCAGTATCTCAACATCAAGCTTTCAAAACATCTATGTCCAGGGAAACAATTTTACCAGTTGGGTTCCAGGTTTACAATGGTGCCTACTTCTGATCCAGAACGTAGTGCTAAATAAGATATAACACTAATATAAAGCAGTGGTATGTGTGCTGTAAGATCCTGAAACACTTTTTCTTACAAAAAAAATATAAATTATTCTATGAACTGGTTTAGTGAGTCCAGAGCTCAGTTTAACGTAGCGAAGCAGCCATTTTCTTAAACACTCCCTTGTTCAACTATATGCTTAAGGTTAACCCTGTACTCTTAAAATCAGAAATCTAACTTTTAACAACAATATCCACTTTAAAAAACAAAAAAAACAAAGCCAAATCAGGCTCAGAGATACATAAAAGTGTTTAAAAATTGAAAATCTGATCTGTAACTGTACCTAATATGTTAAGTCTGACACAGTAAGAAGTTCAACTATCCTAAAGCTGGGACCAAATATACATCCACACTTTAAGAGTTAAAAACAGAACAAAATTTCCAAGCACTTCAAAGGGACACAGAAACTGACAGAACAGCTGGATAAATACCTAAAAGCACAATTCTAATTGATTCTGTTGGAAAAGGAAATGAACAGCAACATATTTAGTGGAATTCAGACCCACATTACAAAGCAGAAGCATAGTGGTTTATATAGTATTATACATAAAAGTTACCTTCAAAATGCAACCAACAAAATGGGATGAAACAGTAACTTTGTTGGATACCAAGTTTTTCCTGAATTTGGAGAAAAGTCCATCAGCTACAACTGTAAGTGGAGCATGAAGTTCCTGCAGTGTAAATTAAAAATAAAGATGTGACACTTAATTTTGCTTCAGAACAATGAGAAGCAATTCCCAAGATCTCCTTTCCAATTGTAAATTGGATGCTTTAGAACACAATAAACATCTAAGAGGATCACAGGCCATATTAACAATATATGTATTAAGAAACACTGTGGGGTTTACCTTCCTTGTATTCACACTTATCTATTTGCTACACAAGCTGATCTAACAATATACTCCATCTTTTTTAGATGTGCATTCAGAAAACACAGCTATGGGAACTGTGTAGAAACTTGGATTAAAAAAAATACAATAAAGAAGAATATTTGCTCCCTTCAGGCTGTAATGCTCTTCAGAAGAAAAAAAGAAAATAAAGAAGAATTTCAAATTAAAGAACTATGCATAAGCAGCTAAAGAAAACCAAACCAAAGTATGACAAACTGACAAGCTGTAAGCACATAGGCTCTTCTTTAAAAGACCAAGCAGGAAACTCTGAGCAGCTTCAAGTCTGCTTAGGAACTATTAACTAATAGTATATATACGGACAAAATACAAATCTGAGTAAACTGTTCAGGTTCAGCCTGAAGGTCTGTATAAATTCTTAATGTTTAACACATACATCGTTCTCAAATATAAGCAAATAATTCCAATTACTAAAATACATTTTTATGCCTTTACTTTTATTGTCATATAACAACATTATTATACTAGGAAGCATTTAAAGGTAGGTGTTTCCTTCTTCCTACAGCTTTCTCAGTGTCAATATATTCAGTGATTGAACTTCAAACGGCAATAGATTCACAACAAGCATTAGTCCTTAGCTTCCAGTGATTTCATATGCTTGCATAAGCAGTAAAAAGTATTTCTCCTTTTAAGCTTTCAGTTTGTAAGTAAGGCAAAAAAAGCACACTATGTTTCATTGGTACTCCTAGGAAATCTTTTACTATTGTATGGGTGAGTCACTCTGTGAGCTCCTCTGTGAGCAGTTGCCACCAACACTGTGGCAATTCATAAAATACTCATAGAATCGTAGAATATTCTGAATTGGGGGGGAATAACAAGAATCATCAAGTCTGACTCAACTTGGTCACACAAACTTTAACATCTTTTGATGTGTGAAGGGAAGCTGGACAAAATCAGATGAGAGTAGATGAAGTAAGGTAAAACATGTTTTATGGTGTCTGCTTATAGAAATGAGCTCCTGAGTAGAGTTAACAAAACCCCTTTCCTATGGATTCCTAGCTTGGATGATTGCAAGCTCTATTTATTCCTGCAATTAGACCAAAGTCACCTGTCCATATCAGTTTCCGGCTGTTTAATGAGCAGAACATTCATGCTACAACTTTTCCACAGTCAACACAATAAATTTTGAGTCTAATCAGTTGCCTAGTTTCAAAAAATGTTTTAAGTTGACCTTTAGCATACTGGCTAATTTGAACCTCATTTAAAAGAATAAAAATCTCAGAGGTAATGTGGTGGAGAATGTAGGATGGAAAGAACAGAAAACACACAACACAGACCAGTGTCCTCTCTTTATAAATGCAGGCCAAGGGATGTAAACAGGCTTGAGTTTGGGGTTTTTATTCAGCTAAGAGCTTCCTAGCTGTAAAAACTAACATGTAAGGGAGACATAGTAAATAGAAATGTTTAAAGGAAATTTCTTACATACTAGATTTCTAAAATCAAAGGAGATCTAAGCCAGCAAATGAAACAGCTCTTTCCAGTCACAGAACTTCAGCATCCAGAGCAAAACATGACTTTGATTATATTTAAGTATACAGACAGGAAACTTAAGGCCTTTAGAACAATATCCAGACTTTCAGGAAAGATGCAGGCTATAACATCCTGCTGGTCAAATAAGTCATACTTAAAATTAGGACAACATCCATAGATGTGTGTGAAGCTTAGAGTGTGAAGCTTAAAAACAGAACTCAAGACAAAATATGCATGTTCCCCTTCTACCCCTCAAACAAAATAAAACAAAACCACCCTTCTACATTGCTGGATGATAAAGCCAATTTAATTTGGGAAATAAACCCCAACAAACACCCTTCACCCTGCAAAAAGTCCTCCTCCTCTCCAAACTCCCTGTCTTTCCCATACCTGTGATTCAGTGGCTTATTCTCCTAGAGTGGATTTCCTAATAATTTCATTCATATTACATGAGAGGCAAGACAGACCAAGGAACAAGACTTGGAATTCACTCCTCCTCCAGCTAACCTCAAGAGGGGTCAAGAATGTTGTTACTTCTCTGCTCTCTTGCAGCACTTAGTTGTCAAGTGGGCTGAAATGACACTTGCCTGAGGACAGTTTAAAACCAGGTTGCTCCCCTACAGCTTTGGCAAGTACTTTTAAAAGGCTCTCTCCTATACGGTTTTATGCCACCAGTCCCATTTCTAAATGACTTAGAGATGGGAAGATGTTAATAATCCTCAGAGCAGGATGTTCCAGCTACTCAGGAACTTCCTCCATCTAGAGGGGAGCAGGGCATAGGCAGGAGATTCCCATCCGAGTACATCTACATAACTTTAGGCAACAAAGGAACTTCAAAGTCCAAAAAGATTACAAATTTGGTTTTCCTGGAGAATATGCAGCATATCCAGAACTTCAGTACAGGGGTTCTACCCAGACTGGCATTTCCTAAACTTTTTAAGTTTTTCAGTTTTTCACTAGATGGTGGAAGTATATGTGGAAATGCAGACCACTACACACAGCTGAAGCACAAATCTTAATATGTTGTTTTTTCACCAGGAACTCTTGAAAGATTTTAAACTCCAGACATATGAATCATGAAATAAATAATGAACTGAATTCTCCAGAGAAACTGGAAGCAAAAGCTTTGTAAGAAATTATAACAAGTATTCCCATATTCCCAGACTGTATGCCCTAGAAAATAACTTCCCTTTGTTAAATCTTTTGCTTTCATGATAACTACATTATTTCTGTACTAGTGCTCTGAAATACAAGCTTTTAAAAAATTATACATATAAAGCAATACTTAATTTTCTCAACAGTTTAGCAAAGATTGTAACAGAAAACTCTTACCTTAGTGTCTCCAGTTTCTTTGTCCTTGTACTGAACACCCACAACACAGTCATCTTCCTCAAGTAACTGTAACACAGTCCCTTCAATGAATTTTGCACTGAAATGAAACAGAGGGGTTAAAATAGAAGAGGATTAATGATACCAGCATTTCAAGGCACTAGACACAGAAAAAAACCCAAATTTTCAACAATGTTATCTCTGTCAACACAGTTTAAATTTTGAAGAAAGAAAAAAAAAAGGGTTCTGGAATACTTTCTGAAGCCACATTAACTGTCAAAAAGTGTCGGTCATAAATTTCACTTTGACACCACCTTTGGTTTGATAACTGAATATTCTAAAAACTGTACTATTTATCATAAACACCCTGCCACTTAGTAGAGTCCCTAGCTGTGTCCCATGGCTCTGTAAAAGATGCCGAGAGGAGTTTCACACCTAGTATTGGTCAGAAATCATGGAGCTGAGTCATCCCTGCTAAAAGTTAGGAATCGCTGACAGTGCAGGTGAGACCTAACTCCAAGGAAAATTAAAGAACAGGATCAGCAGCACTTAAACCCTTAACATGAACACTAGATAAAAGTCAGGCACATAATTCTCAGAGCAGTCCAAACTAACCTAAACTGTTTAGGACACACATACCTAGCTTGTTACCTCAGAAATTCAGGGTAGAGTTTTGGTTTTTTTCTGTTTATGCTTTTAAAGTTCTGCTAACACTAATGTTCAAGTGAAGCATCCCTTGCTTCTATCTCCCAACCAGAGCCATTTTGAGTTCAGAAATGAAATCTCTGTAAACCTATATTCTTTGTTGGGTCTGAGCTGTTAGACCTGATCACAACACTTGAGCTGCTCAAAATGGGACACTCTGTATGTCTCAGAAATATTTCATATCCAGATGGAATTCCACAGCTTTAAGAACTGAGCTAAAGGTGCATGTGAGAATACAACAGCTTGTTATTTTAGGCTCTTAGAAGGAATACAAGCAGTTAAATTAATGTTTTTTTTCCCTTGGGATCCAGCACAGACATTTCAGAGCAGATCGTGACTGCCTTAATTTGCCAGGCAACAGGCACATTGGCTGTATCAAAATATGAATGGTTATGAGTGAGCACACAACAGAAACCTCAACAACAAGGGACTGCAGCAGCATGCCAGGGAATCAGAGTCCTGCAAATCCTACCAGCTCTAAGTTTCTTTTATAGTTGTCATTTCAGTTACCTGCCCGAGTGCTCACTTTTTCTTCTTATTCTCATCCACTATAAGTGAGTTTATAATTCTATATAATTAGTTTATTATTATAAACCAATGATGCCCTACCTCTTTCTGCTGCAAAAATAACTTACCGGAAATGCATTCATATTGCCTAGGGCTTGTGAAGAAGATATACTAATCAGTAATAACTATCCTCTATATCTTCAAAAGCTTTGTGATAAAACCCAAAATCTCCTGGCACTACTAAGAATTCTTGATCTTTCACTACACATAAACATGCAGTTTACTATGCCACAAATTAAATGTCAAGCAAGCATACACAAAACAAACATTCAAAAGTGTGTGGAAAATGGGAAAGAAATTAATTAGTTACAAACATGATTTTTGCTTCAAAGACTGTACAGCTACTGGAGTTTTTCCCACAAGTGCACTTAGATGCCCAAATTTCATTCAACTTAGAGCCTCAACAAGGCTTTAGCTTTGAGAGCTAGTGAACACTGTCACCATTAATTTTAACCGTACTACAGAGCTGCTATCTTTAGTGCCACTCTTAGTAATTTCATATGATATAACAAATACGAAAGGAGAAAACTCAGAATAAAGTTGTTAGGTAAAAATATGATAATGCCATATGTCTCTTGGGATATATGGCATTATGGTATTTTTAGGGGAAAAAAATATTTAGGGAGGGGAAAAAGATAATACAAAAAAAATATCACACAGAAAGCAGCACCTAGAATCTATTCTATTTCAATAAAAGTTCACTTCTCATCTCTTTTATAGAAGAAAACAGTTTAGAGAAAACACCCATTTTTTCTTTTCATTATGAAAAGAAGTTGTATTCAAGATTCTGAAATATATAAATTATTAACTGGAAAGAACTATTTCCATCTAGTGCTCCTTTTTAGTTACTTTGGCTCACTTCTTGTCCAAAAAGAAAGCAAAACAACATACAAACGTAAATGCTTTATTTCTATCATCACTGATAACATCAGTGGAAAAGCTACATGCTACTGCCCAGTGCAGGAGGGTTGGACTACATGACCTTTAAAGGTAATCCCTTCTAACCCAAACTATTCTGTTATTTAAGAAATCGTGCCAGATTTGCCACTCATGCCTTGTCCAAAGAAGTTCTGTGCATTGCTCACCAAGAAGAGGTCACTACTTCTGGTAAAATGCCAAACCCAAGAATCAGCAGAAGAGAATCAACGCTTCACCTGTGAACTGTTCTTTCACACAGATGGGCAAATACCTTGCCTAATATTTAAAGCCCATACTCCCTTAAAGATTAAGTTGTCACAAATGGTGATATATATATGATGTGTATGTAACATATGAACTTGTCTACAGAGAGCAGAATGAGTAATTACAGCTGCTACTTTCTCTCACTCTTGTTCATCACAGCCCTCCGTGTTGGGAATGGTTAAGGAATCTCATGGAAATGATGGGAACAATGCTTCTGAATCTCTGGATCCCAACTGTGCTGTCCACAACATGACTCACTTGGGCTCTGCCATAGCTGCCCTTCGGAGACCCATAATAAACTGGCCATGATGAAAAGACCTTCCACTGGCCACACGTCCGTCTTCAGATGTCGGATAAGGAATCTCAACCTCCAACTTGGTCTCTAGGTCATGAATTATGTAACCATTTACTATTTGTGAATCAATACCTTCTACCGAATCTGCAAGACATAAGCAAAGAGATGAGTTAAAACAAGTCTTTAAGAAAGCCTAATAATTTATTACAGGCATTTCTTTACATAGGGTCCAATTTTCATAAGTAAAATATACATGTTGAAAGAAGAGTATTTTCAAAATAGCAAACTGGAAATACACAAGCAATTTTAACTCAAATGTTAAGTGCAGATAATATTTTTCTGAATTTTTACTGTAGGCATGCTTTTACTAAATACATTGCTTGGTGTAGTAACTCTTGTGTTACAGATCTATTTACATCTTGAAATGTACTCACCTTCAAGACCCAAGTCTCGAAGAGCATTAAATCCTCCAGGTTGCAGCAGTTCTCCAACTATCCTGTCAGGTTCTTTCAGATCCCTCTCTATCACAGTCACCTTCCTTCCATCTCTTGAAAGCACCGTGGCCAAGGAAGAACCAAGGACACCTGATCCCACAATGATAATTTCTGGATCATATTGGGGTGACAATGTAGAATTTGGAGTAGTCTCTGTCAGGTACACATCTGAGAAGTTCACTTCTCTTTTACCCTTTAGAAAACAAAGGCAACAAAGTTACACGTGCCAATGGATCTGTACCATAACCTTGTCAAGAAGGCTGACTTCGGAGTAGCTCCTCTGAGCCAGGGTACTGAGGGCGAATTGGTAGTTGGAAGGCATCTTGCAGTTTAGTTTTGTCTAAAATTGAATCTGTCATACTCTGAAAGGCAACAAAAGCACAACAAGCAGAGAAAAGAACCAACACCACTGCAAATAACATCACAACCCTGGCTTAAACCTGCCCTACTGACTGAAGACAAACCTGAAAACAAACAAAACTGCCAGAGGGACTGAAAGCTGCTATAAAAGGAAGTAAAAAAAGGCTGTCCCATAAAGTAAGACTAATATCTTCATGCCAGTAAACCACTCCAGCATGGAGGCCTTAGCACTTTACAGTGGAAAAAGTATTAGATATGCTGGAAAATTTATTTCTCTGGAAAACATACTCCTTTTTAATTATACTCTAAGTGAACCTACCAACCTAAAAAAACAGCAACTTATGGTAATATTCAGAATGGAAAAGTGTCAGCAGAAGCAGCTGCCTGGGAAATGCTTTTTAGAAGTGGTCCTGAAATGAAAACTCATCTAACATTTAAAAGCATAAGCAAAATCACCATTCATCTACATTTAAAGCTGTTAAGATTTTACATATATTGGACTGGACATCAATTAATACCGAAACTGGTATCATAAACCAGCTCTGTTATAGAACCTTCCCAACAGCATTTAATTGCATACACTTCGAAGTGAAAAATAATTTTAAGGGCAACTCCAGTGCAAAGCTGCAAATCATTTCTCCAGCTGGTAGATGAGAGCTCGATTCAGTCTTTCACAAATGCCTCAGCACTGCATTGCTGACACTGGTAAAAACATGACTGCATCAGTGAAACACACTGACACCAGAGTTTCTTGTGGCCTAGTGTCATGATTATATCTACAATACAGCAAAAGAGTGCTAAACTAACTGTCTGAATTCAGGTAACAAAAGAAATTGGTAAGCACAGGCTTTAAGAGAAAAACAAAATAAAAATAAAAAACCTTTGACTTGCAGCCAAAACCAGTTTCATGTTATTCTGTGCATGGAGTCAGTGCTCATGTGAAAACGCCCAGAAGTACACAGGAAAGTAGCCAAATAGTGCTGACCACAGATGTTCCAGATATCTATGTCCAGTTCATAGTCTTGGATGGCAAGACTCCAGCTAAGCTCCAGACACCTCCTACACCACCTACAGCTCTCCACTTGTCCCAAAGCAAGGGTCATGCAGAGCTCAAGGGAACAGCCTGACTATCTGACCAAGTCCTGTACCTATGGTACAAGCAATAGGTCAGCAATCATTTCCCAGTAACTCTAGGAGTATACAACATCGGCAGTTTTATAAACAAGTGTGTTTTATCCATAAATATTAGTAAGCTCATCAGAGAGTTAGAGAATGGCAGTGGTTGGAAAGAGTTTCTGGACATAATGGGATCCAAAGCCCCTGTTCAAGCAGGATCAGAGCAGACTGGGCCCTCTTTTGGACACCTCCAAGGATGGAGACTCTTCCAACTCTCTGGGAAATGCTGCATTGCTCAGTCACCCTGACAGTAAACAGTGCTTCCTGTGCTCAGAGCAAACGTCCTCTGTTTCATTCTGTGCTCACCACTTCTCCTTCTGTCACCAGGCATTGATGGAAAACACCTTGGCGCAGCCTTCTTTGAACCCTCCCTTCAGGTATTTACATACAGCCTTCTCTCTTTCCTCACAGTCCTTCATCTCTACAACAGACTGGCAACTGAAGATATTTTTCTGCTACTATAATAACCCTTTACTCCAAATCTTTCTTAAAACACACTTGTTTTGATGCTAGAAAGCCCCTGGTCTACCACTTTTCCTTTGCCAACCAAAAATAACACAAAATATGACAAATCAAACATCCAGCACCTAAAGACAAACCCTGTCCAACCCTTTCTTAGCTCTTTTCCCTCACCAGGGCAGACGGCCTGGCCATAGGGAAAAGGAGCAGAATCTTGCATTCCACGTGCCACGTCTCACCTTTCTGGATTTGGGCTGTTCAACTTGTTGAGATCCCGGGGTGGGTTTGGCCCAGAAGAAGCCAACCAGGGGCAAAGCTGAGAGCACATCAGAGAGCATCCCCAGGTGTGACTTCTGCTTCTGCCGCTGCCTGGGCCCCCTGAAGTGGTACCTGTACGACAGCACCAAGCCGAGCGAGAAAAATACCAGCACGGAGAGCAGCACCTCCTTATTAGCGTAAGTCATGAGGTCTCCACACTTTTTATACACGTAAATGAAGGAGGCGATACCCAGAAAGGTCCACATCATGAGGGTCACTGATCCCTGTTGCTCCAAAGCTTCACCGCAGATGGATGCTGGCGCAAATCGGGTTTCGTGGAAAGGATGAAAAAATGTATCTAAAGAAAAGGAATGATTTCCGCTCCAATGGAAGGTGGGGAGATTTCAGTGGAAAAACAAGGAGCCCCAGAAGAGGACCAAGCCCCACCTCGCCAGGCTGCCACAGGAGCCTGGACAGAGGTTCAGAAACCGGAAAAAAAGAATATATAAAACGTCTTCTCAAGAACCCCCTCCCGGACACGCGATGCTGGAGGAGCTCGTCCCACTGCCCCCCGGGTCACCCCTCCGCCGCACCCAGCCCCTCTCGGTGCCGGGACTCTCCCCCGCTGGCGGCGGCGATGCAGCCGGCGCCTTCACGCCCGCGGATGAGGCGGCGGCGCCGCGCAGGGCGGGGGGCGGACGGTGCACGCCCAGGGGGGCGCGGCTGATGCTCTGCTCTACCTGCCCGCGCCAGGGCACGCCGCAGCTGCCTCACGGAGAGAAGATGCAGTGCCGCTGCCTCCCTCCTTGACCCAGTCCCGGCGCCCCGCGGCGCCTCGCGGCAGGAATGGAGGGTGTTGGGAGAACGAGGGGCAATAGGAGCGAATGGAGAGGGCGGCCCGCGGGAGGGGCGGCCCCGCAGCCATGCTAATGAGTAACGGCCGCCACCGCCCCGCGGGCACCGCGCGCCCGTGCCTCAGCGGCGCCGGCCAATCGGCGGCGCTATGCCGAGATGGCGCTATGACCGCCGACCAATCGGAGCGCGGGGAGGGCGGGGCTCGCGCTCGCCGGGCGATGTGACGCGAAGGGCGGGGCGGGGTTGCCGTGGTGACGAGTGAGGGGCGGAGCAGCTGAGGGGCGCTGGTAGGCCCAGGGCGCCGGGCGGCGACACCGTCGGGTCCCTCGCTCGGGGAATACGAAAGGAAACAACGCCCATCGGAAAAATCAGAGAATCATGGAAGGGTTTGGGTTGGGAGCGACGTTGGAAGATTGGGCAGCGACACCTTTCACTAGACCAGGTCCCTCAAAGCCCCATCCTGCCCAGCCTTGAGCATTCTCAGGAATCAGGCATCCACAGCTTCTGTGGGCAGCATGTCCCGGTGCCTCACCACTCTCACAGTAAAGAATTTCTTACTAATATCTAATCTACATCTACTTCCCTTCAGTTTGAAGCCATTCCTCCTTGTCCTGTCACTCCATGTCCTTGTGAAAGGTCACTCTCTGGCTCTCTTGTAGCCCCTTTACATACTGGGAGCTGCTGTAAGGTCTCCACGGAGTCTTCTCGGGGCTGAACAACCTCATCACTCTTTGCCTGTCTTCATAAGAGAGGTGCTGCATCTCCTCTGATCAACTTCATGCCCCTCGTCTGGACTCATTTGAATGGATATATGTCTTTCCGGTGTTGGGGTCCCCACAGCACTCTGGGTGAGGTCTCACCAGAGCAGAGGAGCAGAATCCCTTCCCTCATCCTGCTGGCCATGCTACCTTTCATGCAGCCCAAGATTAACCTGAGCTTCCTCTTTTAGCGTTGAACTCCTCAAGGGCACTAACCTGTAGTCCTCCCGTTTCTCCCAGAGGGACTTTTCTTGCATTGTGTTCTTGTTGCGATGCAACAATATGAGTATGTCTGTCTAGCACAGCATAACAATATTTAAAAGTGAGGAACGTATGAAACATGACAGGAACTGGTGAAAGAATAACCAAAACCAGTCACATCCACATGGAGCTAAAGGAGATGAGATCTTTGCAGTGGTAAAATGGAGTAGATTTTAAAGAGGGGAGAAACATCTGATAGCTTCTCAGTAATATGAGATTAAACCAGTTTGACACTTGAATAAATGCAGGTGAAATTGGAAGCTATTAAAAGATGGGGCTTTGGTTCATCATCAGTCAGTTCAGGCTAAAAATAAAGACCCTGTGAGCTAAAGAGATGAAACAGGTTTTTCTACTTGGTAATAACATGGGTCTCATCCAGCAATGATGGTTGTTCCCTCAAAAATGAAATTAGATCTGGTGCAACAGTAGGATCCAAAAATCATAGACATCTATCTATAAAAACATGTTCACAGCAGGAGCTTCTTTTCCCCAGTTTGAACAAGGGTTATTACAGCTGTCAACAAGTTTTAAACCACTGGAGACTGAACTTCTTAAATACATCTGCACTCGATTTCCTATGTTCAGTTTATAAATACTCCTTGTTTCTGCTAAAAATGCCTTTTCCTTATGGTCCAATCTCCACAGATCAAGTGTGTTTAACTCTTCTGGGTATTTCATGCTAGAGACCAAACACAAAAAGAGTCTTCAAGTTACTGGAACCAACACCAACCTTCTGAAGACTAATAAATGTGAACTGATATACATGAACCAACAATTGCTGAAAATTAATACCAGATTAATGCAAGTGCATAGTCAGAACTATACCAAGGAGCAGAACAAGCTGAAATGGCTAATAGAAAGAAGGATGGTAGATAAGGAAACAGATGAAAGCAGAATCTTGTGAATGAAGATACTGGTATGATGATTTTAAGACTAGAGTAGAATTTCTTTTTCCCCTTTAGTGCCAACTACACAAAACCCTTCACCTTTTGAGGATTCTGCTTGGTGCAGCTGTAAGGTTATTTTGGTCACAACATGTGACTGCAGAACATAAATGTTTTGTCTTGTCCAACTTGCCCTGTAGCTACTGTGCCTGAGCCAGAGTAGAGAGCAGCTATCCATGGAAGATATGAGAAACAGTGTGCGTTTCTCTGGCTGCAGGCTATAATTAGATCTTAGCAGGTAATCAACAAAACTGCATGCTTATTCTCCTTCCATCCCATGAAATTGTCTTCCCTACATGAAATATTCATGCAAAATTTCAAGATTATATCATTTGTGAGTCATTTTTCCTGATACTTCTATTTGGAGTGGTTAGTGCTGGGAATTGAAGCAATTACAGAATTCTGACAGATGCATCTATTCAAGGTTCAGATGCTATCAGAACATTTCTGTATTTCCAGCCAAGACGTTGACAATGGGTGTCTCCCTGCTCCTTCTTCATTTACTCTCACTCTCCTGGTTGTGGTGAAGAGCTTGGCATATTTGCATTTCTTGAAATGTAAGTTCACTGTAAGAACTACATTTTTTTGCTTGTGTTATTGTAAATTAGGTAGATAGCTGGATAGAGTTACTGATTTTATTGTTGTTAAATGCCATAACTGCATTTTCCAACTTTACAATTTATGTGTATTCCTGAATATTTTTAATTTTCTTTTTCTAGAATGAGTGACTTCTTGTTTCATTTGCATTGCCCTTGTCAAAATGACTACTGTGAAACATCTTTTAATGATTTAAATCTCACAGTGGCAAATATGAAAAGGCTGAAGCATTTCTAAATTCTAAATGAATTTCTAAAATTTTATGATAACATTTTTACAACCAGGAAATAAAGGCTCCAAAGAAGAGGTTGGAATTGAGTACTTTTCTTTTAACCCTTCTCAAGATGCAGCTTCCTTCAGCAAAATGCTGTTTTCAGACTTGGATAATCAACAGTTGGAAGGGAAGTGCTGTGGTGATGGAATAACCAGAATTGGTTGGCTGAACTCCAGGGTATAAAAAATAAATCACTTGATGAAGCCTGTCTTTTACGCAGAAGCAGGCATAATTCTGAGCCATCTTAAACTGCAGAGCCATAAAACACATATCCCTGGTTCCTGATCACAACTGCCCCAGGAGCACAGGTATCAAGACCTGTGTCAGTGACAGCGTGTGCAGCGTGAGACTGACTCTTGCTGTCCATAAATGGGCTACATGTGACAAAGAGCCTGGTCTCACTCTGCATCCTTGGCATTAATTAATTAGTAACTGTCTTCTACCTGCACAGGTAGATAGATGGAGCAAGTCTGGTGTGTAGACTGAAAGATCAAAAAAAAGATCTGTTCTTGTGTTTCACTCATCATCATGAGAAGTAGCAGAGCCTGGTAAATGTTTGGATGAGGTGTGGTAGGGATCCTGAAGAACTTGAAGGATAGTTATGTGAAACTGCAGTTACTCAGAATCAGAGGTGCTTCAAGCTCTGAAGCAAGAGGCCACTTAAATAACAACCCTTAATAATTGTGTTTATATCAGTGGGTGTGTGATGGAATAAAAAACCTGCTGTCCTTTATGTGGGCATTTTATTGAGAAGCTGTGTGGTTAAATTAATTTTTTTAAAATTAATTTAATCCAGCAGTGCAGCTGGATGTTTTCAAGACTGATCACAATGAACTCTGCAAGTGTTTTCAGAATTATTTTAATGAATGTCAAAAAAAAAGCTTAGTGTCTGAACAATAGTAAAAACGTTATCAAATATATATGTAAAGTATGAACTGGAATTATATTAAGAAGTTTAAAATATTATGCAACACATCACAAAAGTTCATCCTGATGATATATTGTATTTTTAAAGTGTACCAAGGGAAGTTTAGCAATATTTGCTCTCTATTCCAGCAGGACTATTGTGAAACAATTTGTCTCTTATTAATGAATAGTTAGGGAATTAAAGCCACTAGCTATTATGTTCTTTGCAGTTAGAAAGTACAGAATTTTTAAAATACTTATATATTATAAATATATTTATAAAAATATTATATAAAAATATAATATTTAAAATAGTACCTATTTGGGGGAAAAGCTGTAATTCCTGGGGAATCCAGGCAGTAATTTAAAGTTATTTGGGTTTGAGGGACACAGGCAACACGTAGGCTGTGGTGTAGCCAGTGGCTACATATGCTGTGGCAGCCCCAACAGCTACACTGGTGCAAATACATAAGCATTTGTCACCTTCTTGGTTCTGTTTTGGGATTATGCTGTCCATTTTTCTATAATTTTATCTCAAATTTCACATGGTGATCAAGATGTTTCTTACTCGATAGAATCAGTGGATGCTAAGCCAATGATATCCATAATCGTAAGTCAGATGACTAGAATGGAAGGATGGAAAGGGAGAGGCTAACTCATTATTTTAAAAATTA